ATGAAGTTGGACTCTGAGAAGATACTTGATGCTATCGTAAATGCAACTTGAATTTGGGAGTAATTCACCTGCCTTTAGGAAATGAAGAAAGCTAAACTGGATTTGATTAAAAGGGACATTGAAAAATATGAAGAGCAACGTTTGGATATTCATGCCAAGTTTCAGGAAGCCGAGCGTGAGGGGAATGAAGAGGTAAATTGATGTTTTATTGTTAAATTGTCCTGTTTAGTCCATCGATGGCATTTGATGCATGGTTGTCTTTCATAATTCCCATTAATTTTTTTTTTCTATTTAATTATTGGATGTATGTGATTAGTGCTGAAGTGGACAATGTAATTAAGTTCTTTCAAATTTGTCATTTTTGTAGTGTCTTGGGGAACTTCGAGAAGTTGCGAGGTCTGTCAGGAAGGAGAAGAATCGCCTCAGAGAATTGTATCGTTCTGTTGCTTTTAGTGAGAGAGAGGAACTCCTTCAAGTACCCAATAAACTTCGAGATGTTCCCGTAAGTCTTTTTGATCAATCTATAATTGGATTAGAGTTGTTTTTAGGGATGTCCTTATTTCCACTGTAAGTGAAATGTTTGCTTAGAATTGTTGAGTGTAAAGTAACAATGGAAATGAATCCTTGCAAACTGTTGGTCAATATAGGTGCTAAAACTGATCTTACTTATTTTTTTTAAATGTCCAGAGTAAATTCGTGTGCTACAATATAATCTAACGGAATGAATATTTCTTACCTTCTCGTTTATATGTGCTATCTTGGAGAGGTTGACATGGAACTGGGCAATTTAAGAAATAAAATGAAATAGTAGAGTTCCGTGCACAACCCTCCCAGGTGGTGTATAGTATGGTTCGTGGAAGTAGGTGAATTTGTTGGAAAGTGTGATGGAGTTTAAAACTTAGTAGGTTGCAGACGTATTACTTGTTGAAGGAGTAGGTCCCAATAAGTTGGCATTGTAAGATTATGAGGAGTGGGTATGAAATTCGCAGAAGGCCCTAGAGAAGACAGAAAAGCGATTTAATCGTTTAACAAAAATCTCTCTGACTCATTTGAATCAATAATACTTCCGAAATGTGTTTAGGAAGACCTCATTTTGCCATTATCTTGTGTCGTAGACATAACATCGTCGTGACTCCCTAGTGAGAAGCCTGAATTTTGTCATACTCCTTGTTAGCCTGACTTAATCAGTGTTCACTGATTGGTGTTAAACCTGTGATCTACGAGGTGTCAGATGAGCACATTGTCCACTCTACCACCGTCAATACATACACATTTCGAAATGTTTTTAGAGATCTTTGCCGGATGAAAGCTGGTTCAATGCTGATGTTAGTCTGGAGAATCGTCCGGGTGCCATTAGTTTTTTCGACGTTGCCGGGTCGACTCTGAATAAGTGAGTTGGTGAAATGTTTCCTTGTCAAATTGTTACTGTACTTGAATACTTGTATCCGTTTCCCAGTCGGTTTTTTACTCTTATATGTAATGAACTCGTTTTTGCCTTATTCCACACGGGGTGCATATTTCAAATTTTGAGGCAAACTATTGAAATTAGAGAGTCGATAACGTGGCATACATGCATGAAGTACCATTGGGAACGTCTTTTTCCCATTTGAATGAATGTCGCTAGAGTCTTTGTGCTCTAGGGAAAGGTGTAATAATTTATCGAAAACTTCCTCCTTGCTTGTGTGGAATCTTTACGCTGATTTTGTTCTACTGCAAGCTGAAAATTTATCATCCTACAAATCCCCAAGGTTGTTGGAAGTGTTAGCGAGCTAATAAGGTTAGAGGGCAGGCTTGTGCTGCCAAGAGAATCATTCATCTTCCATAGATCGTATGTATCCAAGTGCATAATTTTTTACGGTTCAATGCCCTTTCTATTCATCTTGCACCTTTACGTGACCTTCTCTCGCAGTGTTTGATATCTAGATTCAGATTGGCTAGTTTCGTTGCGATCCTCTCTTGTCGTCTATTTTCTGAAGAAATTCGTTCCTCTCCCCCCCCCCCCCCCCCCCCCCCCCCCCCCTCCCCCCTCCCGCCTCGCTTCCTCGGTATTTGGGAATTTGAATTAATACTTCCCTGCCATTTTCGCTTTCATTAGGGTCCCACATTTTGATCAAATTTGCCTTTTTTTGTTAATTTTCCATTGGTCAGCTTTAATGTGGCGGGTTTCGTCTTTTAACCCACTTAATCAGCCCATTTTGATTTGCGACATCACTTTAGTTGCACGATATCTAATGGCATTCTGCCAATTACTCTTTTGCGCATTAATTTACTTCAGTCATTTCTCGATGGGGCAAATTTAGTCCCTCTAGTTGTTTGAGTTCATATGACTGATGTGTACCAGCCTTAGGATTTATCGATTGTAAGGACTAATTATACATGTCAATTATAGGTTAGTGGTTTAGTTGCAGATTGTGAGTATTTTATTTAACAGTGTTCCTCGATATCTTCTCCCTTAGTTCAATAGTAATGCTGAAAGCAGATCTTTGGTTTCATCGGGTTTGTGGAAATGTTATTTCAAATGGCAAACAGGGTGTAACAATGTAGCTTCCATAATTGTGAAAATGTCTCCATCATAGGTTAACCTGGGAATTGGTAGTACTTCAGTTTGTCATCCGTATGTAGCTTCCATAATTGTGAAAATGTCTACATCATAGATTTGAGCTGGGAATTGGTAGTACTTCAGTTTGTCATCCTAAATGTTTGCTTCCATAATTGTGAAAATGTCTACATCATAGGTTTGTTACTGTATTTTTAGGTAGATTGTACAGGGTGTAACCTGGGAATTGGTGGCTAGGTAGAAGGTACAGGGTGTAACCTGGGAATGGGTAGTAATTCAGTTTGTCATCCGAAATGTTTGCTTCCATAATTGTGACAATTTCAAAATCCAATAGGGGAGGTTTGCTTTAATAATTACTCTAATTGTGAAAATGTCTACATCATAGGTTTGTAGGATATTCTGTACTTGGCCCTTTGTCGGAGACTGACATCCCTCCAGCATTCCACTGGAGGATCTGAAGACGTGTGATTCGCCCTGACGAGGGCGATTTCTCTTATAGCCTTTTTTCAAGCTAATCATAATAACTCGAAGTTTGTGGAAATATAATACGTTTATTACTTACTGATTTCCCGATATCTAGTGTTGATATATTCATGTTTTGTGAGCTCTTTTCTATTATAAATCCCGTTTTCTCTCATCAATTTGAGTTTGGACTAAATGCGACTAATTTAACTACATCAAAGTATTCTTACTCAGCTCAATCTTCGCATTCAAGTTGGCTGCTATTTACCTCATGTTTTGATGTTCCGTTCTTCAAAAGTTATTATTGGCTTTCTGTTAGTGATGCTCTTCAAATCATTTGTGATATTTTGGGCTCTAGTAGTAATTGCTAAAGCGAAACTCTGAAATGGCTTGAATATAACTGATTCTTCATTAGGAAGATAGGCGATATTTAGAGAGAAATGCTAGTACAGAGTTTGATATTCTTCTTTTTTTAAGGGACTGCGGAACCTACCTTACAGGTGAACTAGTCACCATGGCAACGGATTTAATGCCTAATCTCTTGGAGAGGCTTCTTGACTTGGTTGATGTGACCCGTAGATCGCGGTGTCGGTTGTGCAGTCTATCTGACTTTGTGCGTCTACCAGTTGTTGAGGCTTGTGCATGGGTATCATCTCTAGACAAGGTTAGTGCGGACCTCATTTACCCAAGCTCTCAGTCCTATATAATCGTATTAAAGGTTTTCATTTATTTTGTCACAAATTTCACTTATTTTATAGGGCATCTCGTCTAATTAATAGTTTGTTTTTGTGGGTTTTGTTTCAGGTGATTCAAATGGTTCATACCAAAGATGACCTCTATACTCTCGAAGATGGTGGCCGAGTGCTCATAAATCCATACACTCGAATTTGTCTTGTTGGCTCAGCAAGCCTGGCCTCATTTGTCGGTAAGTGTACACCTCTTTCGCAATCTAGGTTCTCTGATTCAACAACTAGTTATTTTATTCTAATATACTATTATTTCAATCGATTGGGAGGTATTATCAAGTGCCCAACGTGCTCACATGAGATAGTTCCTAACCGGTTCATATTCTAGTACACTCTGACAAGTTATAATTGAGCTGGGTAGACACACACACACACACACGTGAGCGGAAAGATTTTACTAGGGGTTAAGCCTACTTCCGGTTATTTGCCCGCTGCGCATATTGCTTTGGTACTTGAAGTGGCTTTGCCTTTTTGTCTAATTTGTCACACTGGAGCTATTAAGTTGTACATCCTTATTTGCTATTACTTATTAATTAATTGCGTCTATTTATCTAAAAATTTGTATCGAGAATGTGATCCGTGCAAAAGTTGGCTTAGCTTAATAAAATGCTTGCGCATGGAAAGGGAGTCTGTTTGTTCGACTATTGTCACCCTTCAGGCACTTAATTATTCTTTTTTTAATTCAGATTTAGTCTGTATTGCTTAGCTCTGCTCCTCATTTCTTAAAACAATTTGAATTTAGACTGCTTCCACGAGAGTACGCATCCAGCAAGGAGAGACAGGGAGAGAAGATTTCAGGAAAATAGAGTTAAAGTTTGTCTGATTCTCCGGATTTATAGTGCTGTTTGGACTGGGCATGTCGTCTCAAATGACGGTCCGATACATGCGTAGGTCAAATAAGGGAAGTGAGCTTAGCATTTTATTGGTTCCATAGGAGGGGGGGGGGGGGGGGGATAGATTGGGCCCCAGAGATCTCCAGGAAGATTGAAACGCGCGAGGAGTCTGCTCAGTGTAGCACCTTTTTTCCAAATTCGGAGACTGATAAGATATAAAATCGTAGCATTAATAAATGTCTAATTTATATAAGTAAATGAATGCTTTCGAGTTCTATAAGCTTTACTTTCCTCGTAAGATCTAAGCTCTTGAGGACCGGTTATTCGGGTGTCATAGAGTATCCTTTTTCTAATAATTATCATTGTCTTGGAAAATGTGTACCAAATGTTTGGTGCGGTGTTTGTTTGTGAAGTCGAAATTAACAGATTTGATAAATACTGTAGCACACTCATTGGTTGGAATGGTCAAAAACACTACTTCAGTCTTTTAATCCCCTTACCGTCCGAATTATTTTTTGAAAGAATGCACCCATCCGCACTCACACGTACTTCACACAACAGCAGACTGATGCTGATGAGTTTTTATGGTGTATCTGCCGTATTGCAAGTATTTCAAACAGCAGCAGTGCCTTCTGTTATGGGTCTAGTACCAATGGAGCTTGTTTCGAAAGGGGGACCATACGATCCCCTAAGGTCTTTATATTTATTTCAAATGGCAGGCATTTTGATAGTTATCATTAGCCCTTTAGATGACTTCGGGCTTCCCAGAAGGGAGGAACATTAAAGTGAGAAAAATTCGACATGGGAAAAGAAGAGCGATTCACAGATGTAAAGGGGACAGACAGACATAAAGGTAGAACAAAGGTGAGGTGAGTACTGTGGAAGTGGTGGAATATGACATGCAGTCGGGCCATGGTAGTCTGAAGTCAGAGGTCAACTGCCAGCTAATAGACTTTTGTCGTATGAGTATACGTTGTCCAGGGTGCACCACGTGGAGGTAAGTCTATCGCACACCCCTCCTAAGGTCTTTAAAAGCTTAATAAAGCACGAGCATGACTGAATTCGAATTTCTTAACGAAGAGACTCCATGCTGGAACCCTTCTGCCTTAAATCTGTCAGAAAATTCTTTTGTAATCTCAGTTGGGTGTGGGGGGGGGGGCTCTTTTTTCTTATTTAGATCTATTGTCATAATTCCAATCATTCCATAATTGGCAAATTATTCTAATTTGTCTGCTTAAATTCTTCTCAAAAGTATGCAGATAATATCGGATTGGAGAAACACCACCTCATTGTGTTGATGTTTTATTTTTACTTCTCATAGGATCTATTTTCGGTAGCTCCCTGTCTATTCCGGAAGATGGATTGAATTTCCTGACTCTCGGTAACATCTATCAATACGGTGAGTTTGACCATTAAAAATCAATCCACCAATTTTGTTAGAATTGTCCTTGAATTGATATTCTCAATGGATTTGGAATACCTGCAGCCAAAACGATTTAATTTCACAATTGCATGTTTTAGTCAAAAAATCACACTCGATTAGTAGTTGAAAGAGTGCTTCTTTAGTTTTTATCCCGAAGTCGATAGCGGTATTCACTTAGCTCAC